GATGTTTTCGTCGTGCTGTTATGACGTCAAATGCGCGCTTTCGTCGAGCGCGATTTTGTCCTCCGCGATTTTGTGGTGGAACCATTCTTAATATCTAAAAACTCTCCAACATTATCCCACATTTTTTTCAAAGAAGCAATAGAATTGATTGTTAGACTAATAATAATTTAACTCCAAATCAGTTCATACTTCCAAGATCCTCAAACTCATCTATTGAAAAAAATTGAACAGCAACGTCTCAGCATCCCTTCCTGAATTTACAACTGAAATAATGGAATCGCTGAAAAATTCTGAGAGCCGAACTTCTGCAATGGATTTTTCAAAATATATCCATGCATTCCAGAGAGGAGAGGATGAATCAATAAGACTCGAGTTCCCACATTATTTTCCTGTCCAAAATTATTTTAGGAAATGTGCAAAATTGAACCCTGACCCTGATTGAAAAGTTTCATTTAACAGTAATTGACCCAATAATTAATTCTATTACTTTTTATCTAATTTAATTACTGAGTAAGCTAAATTAATTAGTACATGGAAATAGTAATGGATTTTATGAGACTAAAAAAGCTATTCAACATGGATAAGGTTAAGGACCTTGCAACAGTTCCTTGTCTATATCATTTAAGTTCTATCTTTTATAGATAAAATGTGTTCTCCCTGAAGGATCAGATTCAGAGTCTGGTAATTTTCATGATCCATTTTTGTCTCTTGGAAAACAGGTCGCTTCTGTAAGCTATAACATTTTTCCCCAGCTAAAAATATCTAATCTATAACATACACACACAAACATCGAAGGACAGATTATAGCCAGGCTTCAGCTAATCATGTTTTAATACATTCTCATTTGGACTACACATGGCCTTTGGAAGTGCATTAGCAATGTCATATTAAAAATATGGTTGAGACTACTAAATGGAATTGGAAAAAAAAATGCCATACCGATACTACAATCGCTCCCATTCCATTTTGGAACCATTTTAACATCCTTCTTTTCCTCATTTTGGTGCTTCATCTCTTGTACAGAGTACCAAAAGATTACTTCTCTGTACAAATGAATACTTGACTTTTTCTTTAGAGGCCCACTGAGTGGCATTGCGCACAGCAACTGATATTTTAAGTGGTGGTGCTCACACAGTAAATACTTTCCCAGAAATTTATCTGGTACCCCCATCAATATCACTTTGAAGTCAGGCAAAGCCATTTCTGTTTTCTTGGCCTTTTCTTGGATTTTATTGCTGTTATCTCTCTATGTAACTTTGATTTTATTGCACTTAAATTTAAAGTTAAATGCTCTTTTATTACATAAAAATGTATTATTATTATTGTATCACCGTACCGGCATTAACATCGTTGTTACTACATTGAACTGAGTCTCCAGTTTCTTAGAATCCTCAGACGGGGAATCCCAAGTGGGAAGTTCTTGCTCTTCAGAGGCCTCCTGCTGTGCTAATAAACCAGACTGAGAAATCTTACCATTTGTTTGTTCGTCTGTAGAAACAATATAGTTGATATTAAAACACACAGAAATTTTAATTCAAAAATAAGGAAAATTTTATATTCAGGAATGCTGTACAATAAATTAAAAAAAACGGTTATAAATGATACATTTAAACAACACTGCTTAATCCGGCTGTTTTAATTTTAGAGTAAATTCAGTGGGATACACTCCAAATTCCTGCAGTGATTTCCTAGTGAAAACCATGCCCCTGTCACTGCTCTGTGCATTCGGAAATGGAGAACAGAGAAAAAAAGCCCTTTGATTTTTACCTGCCCCTGAAAAAGCCATATTAAATCATACTTGGGGGATGTTATTTAGCTTTTTAATTATTTGTAATTATTTGGCTCATAACAACAGTAAACAAACCTGAACTATAAAAACTGTAAAGCATAAAACCATAACATTATTTTCATTAAGCTACTAAAGCTTTAAAAGTTGAGTTTCATATCCAAACTTTATTACACCAAACCTGTCTGATTTTAGTGAAATACAAGCTACAACTAGCACTGATTCATGTTTCACCGCTATTCAGTATCCTTTAGTAGACTATGCAACTAGAGCAATTTTATATGCAAGGACATTTAAGTGTACAAATAAGCCTTTTGTCAAGTGTCTTCATATAGCATTTATTAGATTCCTTGGAATCTACCGTGCTTTATCGTCTGCAGGAAAAACAAACTTTTTTAAATTCAGATTTGCATCTTATGTAAAATATACTTTGAAGAACATCAAATACTGATGATGATCCCAAACAGAGCAAGCATTTTAGGCTAGAACAAAAACAATAAAATTCTAAATGCTTTATCATTAAAACCATGTAATTTATTATAACTATTATGTACTATTCAGAGGGAAGTTTGACATAGCTAGTCTCATTGAATCGTGCTCTCACCAAATGATTGGTGATGTGATATCCCATTCACACATTATCTTCTCATATTCCGAGCATTCTGGCCAATGAAGGATATGTTCAGTTATATTTAGCAATATCTAGATGACCTCATCCCTGTTTGTTTCTGTAAAGTTAACAGTGAATCTTTGAGGTGGTAGATTATTTAAAAGAAGCCATATCTTTACAGTTGCTCACACCTCCTCCAATATTAAATAAATGTCACAAAGCCTCTATAATAAGTATCACAAAACCCCTTGTTACCTTTAAAGCCCTTCATGGCTTGGGACCAGGTAATCTGAGGGACCGTCTCTTGCAGTCACATCCATCAGACTCACTAGAGTGGGGAGGCAAGGAATGTTGCCAGTCCCATCCCCTAAAGCAGTGGTTCCCAAACTTGGCAACTTTAAGACTTGTGGAATTCTGGGAGTTGAAGTCCACAAGTCTTA